CTGAACTTAAAAGTATACTATTCATTCAAAAGTAAAGGTATCAGCCATTTCAGAGCTCCTTTCCAAGTCCATTTGATTTCATTGAAAACAAAGTTCAGGGTCAACATTTGATTTAATTGTGGTGCATATGACTAATGTCAGTATAAAGACAGTTTTGCTTTTTTACATAAAAATAACACCCCCCACAAATAATCAAAAGACATGACCTTCAATACTGGCATTTCCTAAAACCCTTAAGTTAATTCAAAAATATAAAGCTTAGAGGTATACATTGTCCTACCTGTTCCATTAAGAAGCCAAATGAAGTTTACACTTTGGGATCTTAGTGGGTTAATCAAGATCTCCTAGCAACCTGACGGGTTAAATGGATCTATTTAAGTCCTTAATTGTACGTATTAATATACTCTTTGGAGAATGGAGGTGGGAATTTAATATGTTTACTGATAAGATTTTCAAAATTAGATTACTATGGAAAATGTTATTGAAAAAATATATTTACTGAGCATAGGAAAATGCCCACAATGCACTGTTAATTGTGAAAACCAGATTGCAAAATAGTATATAGAATACAATTCTAATTTTTGTATTAACAAACCTGGAAGAATATTCATTCATTCACTAACGGTATTTATGAGCATTTGCCATGCACCAGGGCTGTGCTAGGTGGGCATCGCACAGTATGAACTAGACCAATAAGGTCCTTGTCTTCATGGGGATTATATTCCAATGGTGGAGGACTAAGCTGCTGCTGATTACCTCTGCATGATGGGATTACAAAAAGATTTGAATTGTTAAAATGCACTCATCTGTACTTTTACATTTGCTTAGAATGAACACATGCATAATTTTTGCATCTGATTATTTAAAGAATAAAGACTGGACATATAATGTTGAAGGCCCTTCATCTCCTGCCCTGTTCCATTTCCCTCATTGCCTTCACAGAAGCAATCACTGTCATGAAATTGGAAGATATCCTTCCAGTTCATGGTTTTAGATTCTTAACTACATATCTAAGTTTATATTTTAAACATTTATATAAATAATATCATACTGTATATACAGTTTTGAAAACTTCTTTACTCAACGTTGTGTTTTTCAAAGTCCATCCATATCAATATACAATAATATAGTTCATAATTTTTAACTGCATATTAATTCAACTTTATGAATTACCTGACGGCACAATTCACTCCCCTATTAATGAACATGCAGATTGTTTCCAAATTGTAGATAATTTTGTGATGAGCATCTTTGTACACATCATCTGTGGAACCTCTGCTTTCTATTCCATGGCCCATACATTATCCCTTTACACAAAAACACTGTGGACTGCATGCCCATCAAACGGGCTCTTTTAAGAATTGCAAAATTTCTGAATTGAGAAGTTTTGTAGAA